AGTCTTTACTGACTGGAAGAATTTCTCCTAAAAGTGAAAACAACAACAAAAGATTATTCAAAAGGAAAACACCCTCAAATGCTATCTATAAATAACAATCATTTTCAAAAGGCTGCAAATTTGGGTGGAACCAACTGTTTTGATTTAAGTCATTTCCAGGGACCTCATAGAATTGTTTGTCTCCTCTTCATAGGTTCTTTTTTTTTTAACTTTCTATATTTTCTTTTTTATTTTAATTGTTATTTTTATATTAATTACATTTTATTTACTTTGTATCCCAGCTGTAGCCCCTTTCCTCATCTCCTGCCATGCCCCTCTCCAAGCCCACTGATAGGGGAGGTCCTCCTCTTCTTCCTTCTAAACCTAGTCTATCAGGTCTCATCAGGACTGGCTGCATTGTCTTCCTCTGTGGCCTAGTAAGGCTGCCTCCCCTGCCCCTGCCTCAGTGGGAGATGATCAAAGAGACAGCCATTGAGTTCATGTCAGACACAGTCCATGTTCTCCTTACTAGGAAACCCACTTGGACACTGAGATGCCATGGGCTACATCTGTGCAGGGGTTCTAGGTTATCACCATGCATAGTCCTTGGTTGGAAGATCAGTCTCAGAAAAGAACCCTACCCAGATTTCTTGGTTCTGCTGCTCTTCTTGTAGAGCTCCTGTTCCCTCCAGATCTTTTGTAGAGCTATTCAAAACGACATTGGAAAAGGCTAGATCTGCCTCTGGGCCACAGTGAAGCAGGGGAACTTCTTGTTCAAAGAGCTCACAGTGACCTATCCTGAGATGCAACTTGGGACAGAAGCAGAGCCAGAACAAAAGAAACCTGAAAAAGAAAATAGGTCTGCACTGTTCTTTCAATAAAAAATAAAGTTCAGGACTATGTGCAACAAAAACTCATATTATCACATTGTTCTGCCAGCTAAAGTCAGAGATTTTCCAGTTAACTTGAATTTACACAGAAAATAATTGTTCCTTTGTTTGTTTGTTTGTTTGTTTGTTTGTTTGTCTTTCAAGACAGTGTTTCTCTGTAGAGCCCTGGCTGTCCTGGAACTCACTCTGTAGACCAGGCTGGACTTGCATTCATAGATCAGCCTGCCTCTGCCTCCCCAGTGCTAGAATGAATGGCATGTACCACCAACCTGCCAGCATAGAAACTAATTTTTAATATATGTATATGTGGTGCTGTATTGGTGACACATAAACACCAAATATATATATATATATATATATATATATATATATATATATATATATATATATATTATTTACCTGAAACTCAAATTAACCAGGTTTGTGCTTTGTTTACTATATTTGAGAACCTGACCTACTTTTCAAAATTATCTACAAATGGCCTTGGCTCAGTTGTTTAACATCGGCCCAGGCACGTCCTCTGAACTCGAGACCCCTAAAACCAATTTCTTTCTTAAGAACTCCACTTTAGTGTCTAATCGTCATTTAAAACAAAACTGAATAATCGGTTAATCCACAGCTTAGCTCCTGCTATCTTCAGCTGCCCCTTCCTCTCTCTAGACTAGATTCCCCTGCAATCTGCCTCCAACCCCGACAGGTCCATTGTTCGAGTCAAACAATGTCTTGCTTGGTTTACCATATTCTGCCACTTCAAATTCTTTGTATTTTTTGCATAACTTAAATGAATCAGAGGAGCTCATGATTTTGCATCCGTTTAAACTGGAAGCTGAAGAACAGTCTTGGGCAGTTCAGATGGTGAAGAAATAGGCCCCAAGGGTACCCACACAGTTTCTTCTCAGCCAGAGATACCTCTTCCTTGGAACCAGAGAGGCTCTTGCCACATTTGTACCCACTGACCAATAAATGACCGTGCCTAAAGGTGGCAAGAGCTTTTGCCTTTGTAAGCTCCTCCCAGGGATTTTCACTCTCTTCCCGAAGCACCTCTGAGAAATACTAACTGTTGCTTGAGGGGAACATCCTAACCACCTGATACCCTCGGCCCCATAGCAGCTCTTAAAAAACTGCCCGAGCTCTGTCCTTCTAGAGCAATGTCATGGAACTTTCTGGGTCTCAATAAATCTTTACTGACTGAAGGACAAAGGAATGGCACATCAGAAGGAAACACCTAAGATGTATCCTTCAGGATCCCAGTGCAGCCCAGAGTGGAGAGTCCCCAGCCCACTTTCTTTTTGTTTGGTATGAATGAGGAGTGTTGTGAATGCCACGAGACCCCATCTTATCAAGCAACAATGTATCTGAGAGTCACACAACCAGAGAAGCCCACTGAGTAATTTTTCTATGATGCTGGAATTCTCAAAAGAACAAGGAACTCTTCCGTAACTCTTCCTCAGGGTTGACAGAGATGCTGGAGAGGACCCGCCAAAGCAGAAAGGACCAGCTACTTTACCATGCTGTCAGATATGCAGGGCCCTAGGCTGGCACCGAGCAGAGCCATCTTGGAAGCTGGTGCATTTTGTCACATGGCTACACTATGTCATCATGTCAAAAACAACTTCGCATATAACGTGCCAACCGTGTCAAGCAGACATTTGTAAATGGTCAGTAGGATTAGTTTACAAGAAAGAGGCTAGAAACCATGTGAAAAATACAACCTAAATGCTTAAATACAACTTAAAAACTACCTAGAATTCTGCTATCAAAATTCCAAAGAGGGCCTGGGGCCATGGTTCAGTGGCTAAAAGCACAGGCTGCTCTTGCAGAGGACTCAGGTTCATTCCCAGCACCGACAGGATCGCTCACCACTATCTGTAACTCGGGTTCCATGTAGGGGATCCAACACCCTCTTCTGCCCTCCTCAGGCAGCAGGCAAGCAAACACACGGTGCCCGCTCACACATGTACACACAAATATACACATGCAGGCATATGTCCATACACATAAGATAAAAACAAACAAATCTCTAAAAAAAAAAAAAAAGTCACCAAAGAACTGTATAAAACCTGCAACAAATATTTATTGCTTATGTGGGACACAATAGGCTACACATTTTTTTTTGTTTTGTTTTGTTTTTAAATAAATTGCACTGGGAAGAAAAGTTGGTCATAAAAGTTCACCTTTAACAAGTTCACTACATTTTGACACATTAGTTCCATATTATGCGTTTTCTGGTATCCCAGTCTTTAACAAAATGATCAAATTTGAGTGATACACATATGTATATATCATATTGCACAAATATTGCATTTTAGTGTCAAAAGTTTCCATGCTTTGTCAAAAACATATGGGACGTACTTTATTATGTTGGTGTGCCTTAGTTTCTGTTATAGAACAAAACATATCTCTGAAGTATACATAAGAAGTATAATTTGTTCTGTGTGTGTGTGTGTGTGTGTGTGTGTGTGCGCGCGCGCGCGCGTGTCTGTTTGCTATTCTCCCAAGTAAAAGGGATACCTTCATTAATCTAGAGAGACAGGTTCGCAGGTAGCCAGTCAAAGCTGTGATACTTGGAAAGCCGCCTTTTGGGTTTTGCATTTTGGGGTGGTAAATTCTACTGTCTGTTAAGAACACACACTCAGTGTCCCAAGTTAGCAAAGTGCTCCCCCATTTTCTAGGTCTTCCTCACAGTGAACTTGTTCCCATCAATAAATTTTCTACACCCTTTCTTCCCGCCCCACCCCCAAAAACTTCCTGGCTGCCTTAGAGTAACCTCTTTTTTAAAAAAAAAAAAAAAAAAAAGATGGCTGGAACTGTTTTCATCCTCCAATTTTATCACTTAATTCTTTCCAATTATCGCTTTTCAACTAGAATATTGTACTTGGTAATTCTCTCAGGCCATCTGAAATCTGTACATGACAGCAATCATACTATTCAAAACATTCTCTTGCACATGTCACCATGAGGAAAACTACCCACCCTGAGTATAGCTATTAATGTCAAACAGATTGTCATCTGAAAAAAAAAAAGCATCAAAATCAGCTTCGGACAAAGTACTCCTCTACTGAAAAACACCAGTGTTTTATGTGCAAACGTCTTCAATGTCTGACTGAAATTTTTAAAGAATGAGTTAGGCAGGAATCTGTCCCTGTTCTCTGTCATCCTGGGCAAGGTACAGAGGATAGTTCACAACTAAAGGTTTCTCCTCGGAGCAGACTATGGTCTGGGGTTGGGTTTTTTTTTTTTTTTTTTTTTTTTTTTTTTTTTTTTTTTTTTTTTTTTGTTTTTTTTTTTTTTTTTTTTTTTTTTTTTTTTTTTTTTTTTTTTTTTTGGTTTTTTGTTTGTTTGTTTGTTTTGTGTTTTTTTTTTTTTTTTAAGCAAAGATGCGTTTGTCCCAGTTTCTAGTAAACATTGTAAAAGAAACGTTTGGCTCCTAGCTCGGGTCGAGGGCTCTATTTAGCCTATCACAGCACAGACCTGCTGTAAACGCTTGCCATACCCCAGCTTCCGGCAACGGAGAGAAAACCGTACCTCGAAAGCAACGTGCGTTGCAAGCGGCGCGAACTTAAGCCCCCCTTGCCTGCCTCCCAAGACTGGCACCAAGGGCCTTCGGAATGTATCTCACCTCCTAAAACTCAGACTAAGTTGCCTCTCTCCCCCGCCCCGTGTGTGCCATCCCTGTGCGTCTCTCGGGGCTCACTCGCGTCACCACCCCCAGAGCGCACCTGCACACCTCCGAGCGCCCCGCTCTGTGAAGTCGTGCCGCCCCGCTCCCAGCCAAGCCCGCACCTACGACTGCTCCCCAACTCCCTCTGCTGCAAACTGTCCTCAAATTAATCACCCGCCCCAGCCGCCCTCTCCAAACCCCGCGTCCCTGTCCCTTCCCTTGACGATTTCGTCCCCCACCCCACCGCCAAACACCTGTACACCCACCCCGTTCGGCTGCCAGACATCAGGTGCCCACGCTGCGCCCAGCCCCGCGAGCTTTCTGCCCACTGCCGTTCCCCCACCCCACACCCCACACCCCTGGCTTCCCAGACGGCCACCCGGCCCGGAGTACCTCCTGTCGCCGGTTGTCACCCGCAGACCGCCCCCACCGCCACCCCTGCCAGCACGGGGAGGAGACGCCCACGGTACCTGCCGCGAGCTCGGCGGACAGGGCCACCAGCAGGAGGGCCAGGCTCGGTGCGGAGCCTCGCGCTGGGGTCATGGCCACCGGGTGGCCGTGCGGGGCTGCGGGGGCCCCAGAGCGCAGCCGGGCGGCGCGGGCCGCTTTGAAGTTCCCGGGGCGCGGGTGGGGAGCGCAGCCGCGACACCCTTCGGAAGTGCGCGGTTGGCTCGAGCGGCAGCGGGCGCTCCCCTCTGCCGCCTCCCCCATCCCACGCCCCCCGCCGGCGGCGGCGCGCCGCTCCTGCCACTGGCCCCCGCGGGCTGCCTCGGGGGACAGGGCCCGCCCCGGCCGCGCCTCCACGGGCACCGCCGCCAGCCACCCGCCCGAGGGCGGGGCGGGAGACCGAGGGCGGAGGGGTGGCGGGGAGGTGACACCTCTTGTGGGCGAGGAGGAGCAGGCCGCACCAGGTCCCCGAGATTAGCTTCTCCTTGTGGGGGTGGGAGGGGGGGTAGGAGAGCAAAGCCCGGCTGAGACTTTGGAGACACGTAGGACGGCGGCAGCTGCTTTCTCTACAGTCTCCTGCAGAAGATCCAGGTTTCTAGATCTCTGCACGTTCATTTATACGTCCGATGCCCTGAAGCGTAACTAACGTAGCCTGGGCCACCGGAAGGCAACCTGCTGTTCCTTTAGCTTGTCCCACCGCCTCATGACAGCTCTTGGGTCTGTGAAAGCGCGCCCTCTCTGTGGCTCCCTGGAAGTGACCCTGGAAGTGACCCATGGCACCCTTGCCCTCGGACCTAGAGCTCTGCTTTACCAAACTCCATTCATCCATGTCTTCATCGGAAGACTTCCTGTGCCCTAAAAACCACGGCGCAAAGTGATGTGCCATCTGTAATGAGTAATGGAAGTTAAGGGACAGAGCATTGTTTAACTCTCCACCACCACCACCACCATCACCATCATCACAACCAGCAGCAGCACACACACCATGAGCCCTCCTGCAAAGGGGAGCCCCCCCCCCCCCGCACATGCCGACAGGTGGCTGCACTTCCGGTCTTGACTGGGATCCAAAAAGTAAGGGCAGCCATCGCCAACTAAATAGAAACAAAGGTAAACTCGATTTACCCGTGCAGCCTGGAAAAAAAAAAAAAAAAAAAAAAAGTGAATGGTATTATTTTCATCTGACTAACTCACAAAACCCAAGATTACGACGCCGGTGCTATCACTGCTGTTGGAAGGCTCCCTGAAAGTGATTGAGTCATATAAATTAATTGCTCTAGAGTAAGCGATACTTCTTCACCTATCTCAACACTACAGAACAAACCTTCTTTCTGAAGCCTAGGAAACCCCTGTGATAAGATGCCTTCACTGTCAAAAGATGATGGCACCGTGGGAGTCGTGATGGACTTTGAAGCACGAGAGTAGCAGTTCTGGGGAACTTTCGTACCACCACGGAGGAGGAATCAAAACATCCCGGAGTATAAAAAGACTCCGTCCTCGTTTCATCCTAGATCCAAACAAACAGTTTTTAAAAATTGGAGATGTGGTGCACATTTGAGCCCTTCCAGACACCCACAAGCAGACACTTTTTAAAATAGGCAAGAAAATGCCAGGGCACAATATATTTTGGCTTGGTCTTGGCCCACCACAGCTGGGTTCTGAGACTGGAGGTTGAGCCGAGCTGAGTGCTTTAGAACTGACCAGATCAAAAAGACCTTGTGAAGATGCTGGGGCAGCTCAGGTACCAAGCGGAAGTCAGACATTTATTCCTAAACATTTGCCTTTAATACAGAAAACTGTACTCTGCAGGTTGGAATGCTCTTGTTTTCTACAAAAGCAAGGTGTTCCTGGCAAGAGGTCTGATGCTGAGTAACTTCAACGCTCCAAAACGAACTCAGCAGTTTTCTCTCAGGCTGATGGGCCACTGTCAATATGGGCTCTACAAACAGCAGGTGGGCATTGAGCTTGCAAAGCTTCCAGAGCAAATCGACATGTGCTGGAAGTACAAAATCCACGCCATGTTGCAAAGACCCAGTGCAAAAGGTGACAACATAAGACACATTATAAACAGATAAAGCTTACCTTGTCAGTACTGTAACATCTTGAGCAATTGGAATAAATAAATCAGAATTTGTGCGGCAGTGATCTCATAGAATTATGAGAGAAGTAAATAAAAACCTCCTGTTTCCAAGTGACATCATATCCATCAGAAAATTGTAGCACAGCACAGAATATGTACTTTTAAAATGTTTTGTTGTATGCGTTTATTCGTTGGGAGGTATGGGCTGTGTGAGTGTGTGTGTGTGTGTGTGTATGTGTGTGTGTGTGTGTGTGTGTGTGTGTGTGTGTGTGTGATCCAGAGCATGCCGGCTGGGATGCCAGTCTGTCGTTCTCCCCCACCCCCCGTAGTCCTCAGCAATTTAACTTAGGCCTTCCGTCAGGCTTGCAGTAAATGCTGCCTCTCCAGCCCCAAGACTCTTCCTGTTGATGTGGTGCTAGGTTTTTAAATATAAAAACCTACTGTATTGTGAGTCCCATACAGTTGTGCACAGCCTATGGTACTTGACAGCAATAAAGCTGCTCCTGGTTTAGATATTTACTATATTATAGTTTTATTTTCAAAGTGCAATTCATCCATGTCAGTATATTTACATCCACCTGAAGTCAGCTGCCCCTGGCAGACGCCTGGACACGGCTCCAGAAGAAGCCATTGTTAGACCAGGGGATGGTAGCTCCGTGAGCGCACTAACCATGAAGACCTGTCCCAGAAACTGATTAGTCCAAGGTGGAGGTGAGCAGTGATAATGACAACCTTGACACCCCTGTAGGCTTTGTAGCTTAGTTTTAACAGTAACGAAAAGTTTAAAAAGTAAAAGGGAGCCAGTACAATGGTTCTGCAGGTGAACGCACTTGCTGCCAAACCTAACAGCCTGTATTTGATCCCCAAAATACACATGATGGAAGAAGAGAATCAACTCCCAAAATTTGTCCTCTGACCTCCACATACATTCCTTTACCCTCCATGGACAGATGGATGAATGTATGGATAAATGGATGGATGGATGGATGGATGGATGGATGGATGGATGGATGGATGGTTGGATGGATGGATGGATAGATGAATGAATGGATGGACGGACAGACTGATAGACAGATGTATGTAATAAAATATTTATGGAAAATGAAATTTTAAGTAAATGAAAGCTTACAGAATAGAGATGTAAAGAAAGAGCGGTAACATCTGTATTTTAAGCTAAATGATATTACAAACAAGTCAACAAGTTTCCCACAAAATAAGCTTATTAAGGTTATTGTAAACTGGGCTAAATTTATTATTGAAGGAAGAACGGTATATGTTGTAGATGCATTTATACATAAATGTGTGTGTGTGTATACATGTATATAACGAATTTAGTGTACCCTATATGTAAGGTGTTACACAGTGAGATTTGAAGCTTCTGGTTCACTCACTACTCATTCATAAGTAGCATGGAGGAACCCCCAGTCCTTTGCCTGGAGCAAATTCTCTTCTTGGTGAGTGCCCCATGCACTTTATCATGCTGTATTGAATGGTGTCTTCCTAAGTTTGGATATAGTTAGACACAAAAGCACTTACCATTCTAACACAGTTGTCTAGAGATTCAATTCAGAAGCATGCTGTACAGATTTGTAGCATAGGAGCAAAGGTGACACCCTATAATATAGGTGTGTGGAGGGGCCACACTAAGCTCAAATAACTGTCTATGATGGTTCCATACCGAAGAAATTGCCCAATGACTCATTCCTTCCTGAGGCTATTACTATCTCTTATTAAAATTAATGCCCCTTATCTCTTTTACTTTTTAATATGTGGTGTGTTTTGCCTAAGTGTTCCCTTCAGGTTCACGTGGTAAAGGCGTGGCTGTTATCTGTGCTGCTGTTGGCTTCTGGGAGTGACTATTAAAAAGCAGAGCCTCCTACGGAGTCTAAAGGTCTTTAGGTTGTGGGGACATAGCCTCGAGAGAGATAGCGTGACCCAAAGCTGTTCTCTTCCTCTCTCTTTCACCTCCCATTATGAGGTAAGAAGTTTTACTCTGCTACTTCCTCCCGTCTTAACATGTTAGCACAGGTCTAAAGCAACAGGGCCAGCAGATAGTATCCTGAAACCTCGAAACACGTCTATTAAAATAGAATTTACCAGGGCCGAGGAGAAACTCCATCCCTAGATTGCCTGCCAGGTAACCACTAGGATGTGTTTCAGATCCCAGGCACCCACATAAGTCACATGTCTGTAACCCCAGGGCTTTGAAGGTGGACATGAGTAGACAGCAGAATCTTACTGGTTCACAAAGATAGCTGAATTTTTGTGCTCTGGGTTCACTGAAAGACTCTGTCTTTTAAAAAGAAGGCGACAAACAATAAATGAAGCACTCAGTGTTGACCTATGCCTACACACACACACACACACACACACACACACACACACACACACACCAGGCTTCTCTTTAGAATTTGATGATCTCAGGTTTTACTGTATTTGATAGAAAGTGACTGTGTGTGTGTGTGTGTGTGTGTGCGCGCGCATGTGTGTGTGCCTATAGCTTGTATGTCTGCTTGCAGAGACCAGAGAACACTGGATGTGATTTTCTATAACTTAACACCTTTTTCTCTGACACAATGTCTCTTCCTGAATTGGGAGCTTGCCCTCCCGCCATCCATACCCCCCCCCCCCCCCCCCGCAATTGGACTGACTGCTCTCCAGCGCACCCAGCAATCTTCCTGTCTCTTCCCCCACTCAGTGCTGGACTTACAGGCACATGAAGCCACACCGTCCTTCTTTAACCGGGTGCTTGGAGACATAAACTCAAGCCCTCATGATTGCAAAGCAAGCATTGCTACCTGCTAAGCAATCTCCCTAGCCCTTAAAGTGACTTGATATAATGTGCCTATGAGAAAATTTCATATCACATTCAAGGCGCACAATCTACCTTCTCTGAACACTATTGGCTGGAGTTGCTCATCTTGTCTTAAGAACAGTATTTTTAAACACTAGAGCTAAAAGAACGGGAAGTATCCTTCCAATCACCAAATGAAGAAGTTTGATCTTTAAATTTCTGTGTGCCATGTTTTGTGATACAACCTACGGCTAGTGTGTCAAAAAATGT